CGATAGATACATAGATGTATCGATATCGATATATATATATATAAATCGATAGATATAGATGTATCGATACATATATCGATAGATATATACATCGGTAAATATACAGCTATTGATAGATGCATGTGTCGATTAATAGATCAATTGATAGATATATAAATAGATAGTTAGCTAGATAGATAGATGGATAGATAGATAGATAGATAGATAGATAGATAGATAGATAGATAGATAGATAGATAGATAGATAGATAGATATATCGATAGCTACATAGATATATCGATAGATAGATGGATAGATATATCGATAGATAGATGGATAGATATATCGATAGATAGATATATCGATAGATTTACAGCTAGATAGATGGATACACAGTTGGATTTATAGATAGAAGGATAGATTGATTGATAGATATTTAGAGAGATAGATAGGAGAAAGCGTGGAAAGACCGCAATTCCGTATTTTGTGCATTGAGAATGATGTGAAAGGTTTTTCTTGAGATACAATATCTTTTTTAATTTATTAAGTTTTTTTTTCGACTTTCCCAGACTTAAGTCGATAAAGTCACTTCAACTAACATCTTCACCCAACGTCAACTACAGAACAGAGTATTAAGCAGTCGTTCCCTATTATCTTTCACTGTTATTTGTTTTCTTCCTGTGCTTTTTTTTATTATTTTTCCAAAAATTATGGCAGACCAAAGATTGCAATTACATGTAAATAGGCATATGCATATATTATACAATAACTCATGTATTTTTTGATACAAATATTAAATAAATTTTCTTGCATTCGATAAGTTTGATCAAATTCTCCTAAACTATAATATTTTCTGTTAAATGCTATGCGATATTCGGAGACTTTTTTGCGATGATTTTTCATTCTTTAATTGGTTTTAAGCGAATATTTTAAAGAATTATACGCTTTTTCCATCTAAATATTAAACAGAGTTATTAAATTTTTGCCTTCTACAACATTTGCTATTAAAAATTTGCAGACTTTTAGGAATTTTTTAATTGGTTTCAGAAATTTATTCGAATTTTCAGCAGAAAATCAAAATGAATTCAAATATCGATCAGAAACTATCGAACTATAAGAACTATCGATAGTTTTGCCGTAAACACGCCAACATATTCTCAAGTTTTTCGGAATCAACTCATTTGTGCAGAATTTAATTAGTTCAAGTATTTGAGGAACGAGTATGGAAAATGAATTATTAATTAATTAATGTGCTTGATTTGGTTTTGCCAATGAATCAATTTCTGAAACGTTTTAAGCTAATTAGATAAATGTTATTTTGACATGGCCAATGCAATTGGCAACTTGCAACTGCAATTTAATATTTTATACAAACTGCTCTAAACTGTCGCGTTGCAATTAAATTAATGGCAATTATTGATGTCAGCGAATGACTCGAATGACTATTTAAGCGCATGTTAATTAAGGACCGTTGCACTCGCAACTCGCAAACAACCCAACACCGATTTGTATATCAATTATGCATACGAGTCGATGACGCGATGACGTCACAAACCGACAAAACCAATGCCAAGGCCATCGTCGCAAACTCTTGTCAGTCACTGTGGCAGCCAGCTGAGTGAAGCAATTACGCGCAAGACGAAGATAAACACAAAGGCGGATGTCAAAAGCAAAAGCACAGGGGAATAGGCACAACAACAACAAAAATAAACCCAAAAAAAGTGAGAAAAATACAACAACAAATAAAAGGTGTCAACAGAAACAACCTTCGAACTGTGGCGAAAACCTAACGCAATCTTTGTAATCAGTGTTATAAAATTTTTAAATATTTATAATACAAAATAAAAGTGTTAATAATTAAAGCTGACTGCTAATGGCAGCTATTAAGCGAATATAAATAAGACGAAAATAAACAGAGCTAGAATAAATACCCTGGCCAGTTAAGATAAGCTCAAAATAAAGTAATTGTGCTGTTTAAATTAAATATGCCAATATGTTTAAGGATCTTGCAACACTAAATTCGCTTAAAGGCAGCTTGCAGTTCTTTACAACACTGAATTCGCAATATGACAACTTTGAAGATCACATATAGCCGACTTTGCTTCTTACCGAATTACAAACAAGTCCACAAAACAAGCAAGAGAAAAAAAAGAAAACATTAAGAATAGAATAAAACAATAGAAATAAGAAAACACTCGTAATAATTTGTTAAGCAACCCACGTTGCGAATTCTGAGTAATGCTTCACACAACGCACACACACAACAAACCATAATATATTTTAATGAATCTATATGCATATAAATATATTATAAAAGTGCTTAACTCGCCCCCAGCTGTGCGGAGTCACGCGAGAATAACAACAACAGCAATGGGGCTGCCCATATAAATTATAAATAATTGAATATTTTGTGACGTCGCAATCGCATCGCATCGCATCGCATCGCTGTTGATAACAGCGATAACGGCTCGTGGATGGCCTTATCAGCTGTGCCCAAGCTCTTATCAGCAAGGGGCCTAAAAGACAACACTTAAACGCTCGTTAAACATGACTAATTAGTGCGAGCTGACAAGGCCAGAGTATCAGCGTGATTTCACAGTTACTTCGTGACTTTGTGAACCCAAATAGCTAATAGAATGCTATTCATCGAATTGGATATGCAAACAGTCTGATAAGAAAGCTGTCTAACGTGTTAAGGCCTGTCCTTTAATATGGCTGGGAATCCAACAAGAGTTTTCTAGGGTTCGATTTTAATCGAATTCGATCATATTAATCGAAAGGTTTAAAATCATAAATAAATATAAAAATGATATACAAATAATATTTAAAAAAATAAATAAATATTGTTATGGCAATAATAATAATAATGTCAATTCCAATTGGACAGCCGTATCAGGAATTGTTAGCTGTTCCGCGCAGCACTTAAAATCAATTAAATATTATAACTAACTGTAATTGAATTACGATAGACATAAAGGAGATGCATTTGGCCTGGTGCAAAAGCTTTTTATCCATTTTAACGGCAACTTAGCGACTTAGCTGCTTAATTAAAAAATTAGCGCAGCTGTCACATCAATTGGAAATTGCAAATTGGAAATTGGAAATAATGAATGAGTGAATGGATGAATGCATGAATGAATGGTGGATGCGAGGGGGGCACACTTAATAAAAGTGTAAAGAAGATGCTGGCACAACAAGTCAGGCAAATAAACAAGTTCAAGGCCAAGCACACACACACACACACGCACACGCACACATTTACACTCACCTGCCGTTGGCTGCCGGCTGCGCAGCTGCTGCTGCTGCTGCTGCTGGCTGCAGCGGCGACGTCACAAGCGTCGACGTCGGCGTCGACGTCACTATCACAGTGTCGGCCAGCACGGGCCTGTAGATGAGCGGCTTAACGTTGCGTTCGATGTCGTCCAGGAAGACGACATCGTGCACGGGTATGAGCCGATGATCGGCCACATTAAAGTGCAGATCGCGGAAGGGTATGTTCAGCCGACAGCGCAGCGTGGACGAGGCGGCTGCGTCCGTATCGTGTGGCGGCAACTGCAACAATAACAACAGACAATGCATTCCAATTAGTTGTAAGCCAATTGGAATTGTAAATCCAATTGAATAGGATGCAGCACCTTGATTTTCCCATTGGCCGCAGAGAACATTGAGCACAATCAAAAAAAAATAAATAACAATATTAACTAATAGAACAGCCGCATAGCATTCGGCTATGACAAACACACACAAACACACACACACACACACAGCACAACAGCAAAAAATATATTTAAAAAAAAAAAAATAAACAACAAAACTTTCAACACGCGTGCGTACGTCGCGTCGCGGCAGCGCGCAGCGGCAAAGAAAATAGGCAAAACAGAATGAAAGACACAAAAAAAAAAAAAAACAAAAATAATAATATACAAAGTCTGGGCACACGGAAGAAAACACAGTTAACTGTGCTTACGATTTGTGATTTTTCTTAATTAAAATGTTTGTGGCACATTTAAAGCTCATTGGACTGCGGCTGCGGCTGCGCCTTCACTTTGCATTTCACTTGCCCAATGCGGCAGCATTGCGACAGCCAGCAACAAAAACAACAGACACAAATTCACACACAACGGCAATATAATTTATAATCTTGAATGACGCCTGCTGCGCAGCCCCCGTACGCTAAGCAACTGGCGCCGCACTCCAATTGGTCCATTGGCTGGCGATCAGTTTAAATCAGCTGTCTAACTGGCTGTTTAATGTCTAGGTGGCAACGCCAATTAACCAGCCAGTAGCCAGCGCTGCCAGACAGCTGGCTAGCGGCATTCGCCAACACTGATGCGCAGCATTTGACAGCACTGTGCAGATAGAAGCAGCAGAGCAGCAACCAAGCAAGCCATGAGAAATGTAAAGATTTTATAACATTTAAAGTACAAACACTATAAGCAATATTATAATACACCGACAATCAGGTAAGTTACCAGCTAATTGTGTTAGCATTTGTTTTTGCAGAGGCGCAGCCCAACATATTTCGCGCTGCTCTGCCCAAACGTACACTGCTGCGTCCATTTGTATATACGCGAGTGCCTGTGCATGTGTGTGTGTGTGTGTGTGTGTGCGTGTGCGTGCGTGCTGGCGGCAAAAACAATGGCAGCATAAAGCGTGAGAGCGAGAGAGGGAGAGAAAAAACATGCTGCAACCTCTGACAGATTGACTGCAATTGCTTTGAAGGCAATGTCAAGAAAATTAATAATATTTTTCAATACAGCTGCAATTGCCATTATTTAATTTATATTCATTTCTGTGAATTTGCTCTTTTTTTTCCCCAGAATTTGTGCAGTCGCAGCAGCGTGCCCCGAAACATTTGCACAGTCTCGGAGACAACAAGAACAAGCACAAACGATTTAACAACATTTATATTGTTGGCTTTTCGTTTAGTTTTATTTATTTTTTTTTTTGGTTTCTTTCGGTAAGTAACTGAAAATCAACAAATGCAACGGTGAATGCTAAGCTTATTTTTGTGTTGCCAGATTGTGTTTTGTGTGCCGATTGTGTGCGCGCGCGAGAGAGAGAGAGAGGAAGAGCGAGAGAGAGAGAGATGTCGCATACCATTTTGCTGGTGCAGCCGGGCGCACGTCCAGAGACGCGCACATATTGCGACTATGAGAGCGTCAACGAGTGCATGGAGGGCGTCTGCAAGATCTATGAGGAGCACCTGAAGCGGCGCAACCCGAACACGCCGACAATCACCTATGACATCAGTCAGCTGTTTGACTTTATCGATACACTAATTGACATTAGCTGTTTGGTCTATCAGAAGAGCACAAACACATATGCGCCCTACAACAAGGACTGGATCAAGGAGAAGATCTATGTGCTGCTGCGCCAGGCCGCGTTCAGTCCGAATGCCTAAATCAAAATCAGCCCAAACCAAATACCAACAACAACAACAACACCAACAACAACAACAGCAGCTGCAACAACAAAATATCGAAATAGAGAAGCAAATCCGCAAATGAATCAAGTTGTTTTAAACTTATTTCTTTGCATAGAAAATAGAAAAAACGAAACGAATAAGAAAAGCCTAATAATAATTAATTAATAATTAATAATTAATAATTGCAACAAACAACTCGAAACATTGCGCATTTGCGGATTTTCTTTTCCAATTTTCCAAACTAAACTAAGGCAAATGGCAAATGCTCTACAAAATGATGATAAATGCGAACCTTAATTTTTTTTGTATTGTAACGATAATATAATGTATGTATATATATATATATATATACAAATGACAACACACAACGCTGCCTGTGCTATTTAATTGGGCGGCACAACTGCGCGTCTAAGACTTCGCATTGTAGAGTATTCAATGTCTGCTAGGCTCAAAACATTTCGTATCAGAACCAACAAACATTTGTCTTTGCCAGCTTTTCGGATTTCCGCAGTTTATTTTGTATATTCCTTATTATTCCAATTGTTAGTTAAACATCGGAATGTTTTGATGCTCAACTTTGCGGATTATATATAACTTAATTATACTAGTTAATTCCCATCCAGTCCGTCTTCCAATCCCATACTGTCCACCCTTCCCACCTTTCTAGTCCGTCCTTCTTATCCCATCCAATTCATCTTTCCCATCCTATCCAGTCCGTCCTTCCCATCACAACCAGTCCGTCTGTCTCATCACATCCAGTCCGTCTTTCCCATCTTTCCAGTCCGTCTAATCCTATCCAGTCCATCTTTCCCATCGCATCCAGTCCATCTTTCCCATCCAGTCCGTCTTTCCCATCTTTCCAGTCCGTCTTTCTTATCCTATCCAATCCGTCTTTCCCATCCCATCCAGTCCGTCTTTCCCATCTTTCCAGTCCATCTTTCCCATCCCATCCAGTCCGTCTTTCCAATCCCATACTGTCCATCTTTCCCATCTTTCCAGTCCGTCTTTCCCATCTTTCCAGTCCATCTTTCCCAACCCATCCAGTCCGTTTTTCCCATCTTTCTTAACTTAAATTGCGGTCAAATATTTTGAAAAATTTATTTTCTGATGCATTTTTCAAACATTTTATTGACGCCGTAAGTCTTCCCTATTTATATAGACATGCATACAACTAATTATATAGAAAACGATAATATATGTATACATATATATATATCTATTTTTTTACGACCCCTAAATGCGTTCTCGAGTCTCTTAGCCCAATTTTGAATGCTTTGTATTTGAGGTGAACTTTGTATTTTGTTCATAAGTTAAACAAATTATTTGAATGTTACGGCAGAAAATGTACAAAATTAAGTGGAAAATGAAGTTTTTGACATTTACAAACAGAAAACTCAGCTGATTTGCCAGATTTGAGTCACACCTTCAGTTTGAACCGCGAAGTGCAGGGTATCATAAAAATAACTGTTAACTGCCAGTTGACAACTTTGAACGTGTGCGTGTGTGTGTGTGTGTGTGCATTAAGACAAATAGAACCTTTGGTCGTTTTGGCGATAGTAGCATCAGTAGCCCGTAACGAGAATAAATAACAATAGCTCTAGAAATACAACAAAAGCAACTGCAAAGCTGAAGCTGGCTCAGCAATGGCCTTGGAAAGCGTCAGCGTCGGCGTCAACGTCGGCAGCGCCAGCGTTGCCACAGCTGCATTGAACTTGGCGTGCGTTTATTGTTTTTTTTTTTTTTTTTTGTTGTTTTAATAATTGCATGTATATTACTTTTAATTAGCCCGCCAAGTTGATGTAATAAACGCAAAAGCTACGCTATTCGATTTAGTTGTGATATTCAGAACTGGTTTCAGCACCTGTTGCGACTCCATCGACCAACAACAACAACAGCGCTGCCAATGTCAAGTTCATGCCGTATTTGGCCACACACAACGCACACACACACACACACACACAAGCATACGCACACGCACACATGAAAACTGAAATGCAACCGTTGTGGCTATCTCTTTCGTTTTAAAGATTTCTTTCAAGTTCTTAATCGCATTACATTTAATTAGATCTATACAATAATGAACGCATATGTTAATTTAGTTGCGTTATCTAGCTTGCTCTCTACTTCTTCTTCTTCTTCCTCTTCTTCTATATGTTCTTTAGTCTACCTCACTTATGACGCATTTGCCGTGCTGGAACAGCCTCAGCCTCATATTCCATTTCATATTCCAATTGCAGTTTCGGTTTGCTGCGTCGCTTCGATGTTGCTGCCGCTGCCGCTGCTGGCGTTGCTTTTGACTTCTTCTTGGCGTCGCCGCTCAGCTGCTTCTTCGTCGATTTGGCTGGCACTTGGGTATCCTGCGTGAAATGTTTACGTTATAATACACGATTAATTTTCAATTGTTTAATAGCAAATTTATCACTCGAATTGGAGTCAAGATGCGCGCGCGCGCGTTCGCCGACTGCCGCTCAATGTTGAACGCTTTAGAAGTTAGCAAGTCGTCGTCGTCGTCGCCGTCGCAGTCGCAGTCGACGTCAACAGCGCTGCAGCGGCGACGCCGGCCGGCGACACAAGTGCACAAGCTTTTTTAAGAGGCAAGCGAGTTGCCAGCTTGTCTTGTTTTCATTGCAAATTATGGTAATTAGGATTGTGCAATGATTTAGCATGAGAAAAGAAAGAAATAAGGCAAATAGCAAGAACAACAAAGCCGAGCGACGAAATGACATGCAAATGACAATATAAAGTAAGTCAAGCGGCAATTTGCGGGCGAAAAACAAAAAAAAAAAACAGGCATATTTTTTACCTCTATATCATCATTATCATCATCGGACTGCGCGAAATCGCTGTCCATTTCCACTTGTTCCCGCTGACCCGAATCGCTGTCATAGTCAGCCTCATCATCATCATCATCATCATCTTGCTGGTCTTCATCGTCGGTATCCGCTTCCACATACTCTTCCGTATCGTTGAGCGCGCGTCGCAGCTCGAGTGCCTCGTCCTCAGATGCATCCGCTTCCATTTCCAGCTCTTGTTCGCGCTCCTCATCCTCATCCTCCGCCTCCTGCTCATCGTCCTCGTCCACATGCTCCGCTTCCAGCGCCTTGTTAAAGGCCGTCTGTGAAAAGTTATAGATATCCTTGTAGGTGCCTATTTTGAGACGCGTCAATAGCTCCTTCTCGATATGATTATCAATCTTGGCCGCAACGAGCGCCTTCTGTTCACGGCGCGCCTCGCGTCGCTCGATCTTTGTGGAGAGCGGCACGATCAGCTTCTGGCGGCGCAGCTTCAGCTTGCGCATGCGCATCAGATACTGTGTGATCTTGAGGAAGCGCTGCTTATTCTTGGCTATCATGTATTTTGGCCAAAACACAAGATTCTCATTGATCTGTTCGATGGCCTTCTCGAAGTTGCGCGACAACTTGATGCGCTCCCACAATTTGCTGGGCATATGCGCCCGCTCCGCCGTCTTCATAAACAGATAAATGATGCCCTTCTCCTCGCGCACTGTGGCATATTGTGAGTTGGCCAAGGGGCAGGTGCGCCGCGTGCACAGGCCGGTCAGATTGTATTCGTGGCGACAGAAGGTGCGCGTATCGGTTCTGCAAAACAGCATATACCATCACACATGCCATCTTATATATTCAATTGTATTTAATGCCACTTACTTGACTTTGTGCGAGCAAAAGGTTTTGTTGATGATGCTCCAAACGACCTGTGCATTGATGGAGGGCGGGGGCAATGTCATTAATGGGTAACACAGTTGTACGCTCTCTACTTACATCGTCGTGCTGCATTTTGCGCCCGTTTTACGTATTAACGCTTCAGCTGTATATATTTCTGATAAATTTAATTTCTTTTTGATTAACACGTGCAACGTGCAAGCGGCTTCAAAATACAACAACAACAAAACACACGGTTCGTGTTTGACATTCGCTTGTTCACGTTCACGGGCTGTGTGACCAGTCGACATATCGATACTATCGAGACTAGTATGCATAATTTCGCTATATTGATGTGCTGCCTAATATTTGTGTTTTCTATTTTGCATTGAAAACATACGACTGAGCAATATAGAGCGAAAATTCGTTGGCTATTTAATGTCATTAATGTGCGAGCATGGCAAATGTAATGTGTGACCATATCAAAAATGAACATCACAATTTTGCTGCCTAGCGCGCTGCATACCTGGCAGCACAGAAACCTATCGATAACGATAAATCTCAAACAAACTGACATTGAATAACTAGAGCTAGCCGCTGTCACTGCCCGGTTTTTTTTTTTTAACACACATATATAAATATATATATATATATATAGGCCCTAACGCATGGTTTGTCACATTTGCCCAGTTGTAGTTGATAATAGTGTAAGTCGAGCATTAAATTCATAAATTCCAACAACGAAACAAAAGTTTTCAAAAAATAATAAAAAACAACAACAACAACAACAACAACAACATGCAAACTCTTATATTGATGCTTGCCGCCAAAGCGGTGCCACTTTTGGCGCTCATTTTTGTGCTCACCTTGCTGGCCTACAAGTGCTACATAAATGTGCGGTAAGTTGACTGAAATCATTTACCGCAAGCCGCTAATAACGACATCGCGCACCAGCTCACGCTTTGACATAACGGTAAATTGTTGGTTCTGCAACAAGAATTTGCGCGTGCCGTTCGAGCAGCGCAACAGCTGGACCTGCCCGGATTGCGAGCAGTACAATGGCTTTAACAAGGACGGCGATTACAATCGGGACATCTTGTCGCAGCGCGACTGCAGCAGCCGCACGGACGCCAACAGCTCGCGGGGCAGCAGCAGCGCCGCCACAAATGGCCACTGCGCGAATGCATACTATGCGAATGGATTGACGCCGCCGCAGGAGAACGGCCTGTGCGCGCAGTGCAATGAGGCGCAGCGCTTAAAGATTGAGAAGCTGGCACAGTTTGAGCCGCGGCACGAGTCGCGCTACGACCAGGAGCTCAAGGTGTATCAGTAAGTAGCCGCTGGTCCAGCTTGGCATATTTGATTCACGATTTTTGTTTTACTCCGCTTGGCCGCTGCAGGAACGAGCTGGAGCATAGGTATCGGCTGTGCGCCAGCTGTGAGCGGCATGTGAACAAGGTGCTGCACGAGAAAAAGAAAATGGTGCTCGGCTCCAAGTTTCTCAATTTCATAATGAAGGGCGCCGCCTTGCTGAAGCAGCCGCATTTTCAGCGTCTCGCCCGCGCCCAGCAGCAACGACGCCTGGCACGCTATCGCCGCCTAATGAAATGGCTGACATTGATCAATATTGTGTGCCTGGTGTGCAGCCTGCCGACGGCAACGCCCGAACAGTTCAGCTGCATGCTGGGCATATTGGCCAAGCCCTTCTTCTTTCTCTATTCACATGCGCTGACCGTGCTGCATCTGCTGATCGACTATGCCGGCGAACTGTTGACGGAGCAGCCCTTTGCCGCCAAATTGCTAATGTTCGCCAACATTCTGGGCAAGCTGCTGGTCTACTCGATGGGCATGAACCAGACGCAGGCCGGCCAAGCGACATTCAGCGTCTGCTACACCAGCCTCTATCCGTATGCCATGCTGGGACTCAGTTTCATAAGCAACTTAATATACGGATTCAAGCTGACGCGCTACACCGTGCTGCTGCTGCTGTGGAGCATCTATGCCAAGGGCTCCTTTCTGCTCGTCGAGGCCATCGATGGCGTCACCTATATTGTGAGTACTCTCAATTATCCAAATACGCCTATTCATAAGTTAGAAATGGGAAATGCAAGTCAAGTGTATTCCACAGAATCCAGAGCTAGGTGAGATTCGTAGAATCTCTTAATCGCTTAAGCTTGTGTCTTTATGCAAGAGCCGAATCCTATGCCAGGCTCTCTCTCTCTCTCTCTCTCTCTCTCACTCCCTTTCGATGGGCTGCAGGGTAACTGGCAGTCGGTCAGCGTCGACTCTTGTGCTTAACACGAAACTAACAACGAACCCACTCCCCATCCATTTGCAGCTGCTGGGCAGTGTGGCGACAATGCTGCTGCTGAGCAGCAAGCAAACCGATAGCCTGGAGCAAATGTCCGCTGGCGAGAGCTTCCATCGGCTGTGCGCGGACGAGTGCATCCATGACGATGAGACCATCAGCATGTTGAGCCAGCAGCTGAACTGTCAAAATGCCAGCAATGCCACCAACAATACCACCGCCAATCTCTCGCTGCCTGGCTCCGGCTGCAGCACTCCGCAGCTGCGCTCGCTGGGCGCCGGCCAGGGCAGCAGCAATACGGCAGTTGGAGCGCCCCCGCCCCCGCCGCCGCCGTCGGTGCTGTCTCTGGACTCGCTGCGCCTGACCACGCAACAGACGCCCATCCATCGCATGCTGGCATCGCCGGCGCCCAGCTATCACGCCACATCGCCGTCGCCCATGTACGCGGCCGGCAGCTTGGACCAGCAGGCCTGGCGCAGCAGCTATGCCGGCGTGCAGCACACGGATGCACTGAATCTGGGCCAGCCGGTTGCCAATGGCTGGCAGCGTGCAGTGTATGCGACGGGCCTGGAGCAGCGGCCGCAGTCATCGTATGGCTTTGGCCTCGACCAGCGTCCGATGACGCGCTCCACCAACAATTTGCTGTTCCCGCCGCGACTGCAAATGCAGCAGCAGCAACAGCAGCAGCAGCGGAATGGCGACATTAGCGCCTGGGTGAATGCTGCCAGCGCCAGTGCGCATCCGGATTTGCTGCAGGAGCCGAGCACGGCCAATTTGATGCACTGCAGCTACAATCGCGATCTGTCGCGCACCTCCTCGCAATCGTCCGGCTTTGAGTCGCAGCTGGGCAACAACAACAATCTGGCGGCACGTCCCGATGTGGCCATGCCTCAACCATTTTGGGCCCTTCCAGCTGCTACACAAGAGCTGCAGCCACAGCAATTCCAGCAGCTAAATCCTTCGGCTGTTATGCGCGATTGTCTCTGGTCGGAGCAGCGTCAGTTGCGCGTGCCAGTGCCCGCACCTGGCTCCACGTACGCCGTCCACAGTGAACTGGGACGCAGTGCAGCCGCCAAGAGCCAGAGCGATTATCGTCCGGGCGACTTGCTGCGCAATTGGATGGATCGCAACGGAGTCGCCACGCAGAAGACCAACGGCTGATTCGTCTTTGAAATTGATTTCAATTTAGTTTTCGTTCTAGTTCTAGTTTACGTTTATTTCGCATAGTTCAATTTTAACGGTATCTTTTGCACGGGTTCAATAATAAACACACACACACACACACGCACACACACACACACACACAATTGAACTAACGCGAGGCTAACGGAGCTCATTATCCTACATCGACTCAGGCATTTATGACGCTATATGATATTATTAATTAACTAAATAGGCTATTTCTAGGCATTATCCAAAGTAAAAGATATCTTTTAAAAATATGATAAGTTTAAACCCTAAAATAGGGAATTTATATTTTTATAACGAACTTGTTGAGCAGCTAATAACGCATATTTTTCCAAGATATCTTTACGAACTATGAAACTATATGCAATTGTGCATGAGACGGAAGTAGTTAGCTATTTATTGTAGTCAGGAAATTGTTAAACCTTAGAGATATATACGTATGTAACTAGATTTGAATGAAGTTTTGAATGACATTAAAATTGAATATATGCATTTATATTAAATCATTTATATATCTAGTCTGATGTATTGCATAAATAAACACAAAAGACAAAAAAAACAAAAGTGACTGTTTAAATACATTTAAGTTGACGCTGCATCATTTGAGCCACAAATACTGCGAATGCGCTCCACTGTGCGCACGACAGCGCTCCACTGTGCCCAGGCACAGCTCACCGAACGGGTGGCAACGCCGCGCCAGACCGGCAAAACAGCTGTGCGCGCGAGCAGAACAGCAACAATACGAAAGTAAAATATAAAAAATAAAAAAAAAAAAAGTAACTTAGCAGCTGCAGTCATAGCGAATGCAGTTACTATATATATAATCGGCATTAAAATTGAATATATGCATTTATATTAAATCATTTATATATCCAGTCTGATGTATTGCATAAATAAACACAAAAAAACAAAAAAACAAAAGTGACTGCCTAAATACATGTAAATTGACGCTGCATCATTTGAGCCACAAATACTGCGAATGCGCTCCACTGTGCGCACGACAGCGCTGCCAGGCACAGCTCACCGAACGGGTGGCAACGCCGCGCCAGACCGGCAAAACAGCTGTGCGCGCGAGCAGAACAGCAACAATACGAAAGTAAAATAATAGAAAAAAAAAAATAAAAAAAAGTAACTTATCAGCTGCAGTCATAGCGAATGCAGTTATTATATATATAATCGGCATTAAAATTGAATATATGCATTTATATTAAATCATTTATATATCCAGTCTGATGTATTGCATAAATAAACACAAAAAAACAAAAAAACAAAAGTGACTGCCTAAATACATTTAAATTGACGCTGCATCATTTGAGCTACAAATACTGCGAATGCGCTCCACTGTGCGCACGACAGCGCTGCCAGGCACAGCTCACCGAACGGGTGGCAACGCCGCGCCAGACCGGCAAAACAGCTGTGCGCGCGAGCAGAACAGCAACAATACGAAAGTAAAATAATAGAAAAAAAAAAATAAAAAAAAGTAACTTAGCAGCTGCAGTCATAGCGAATGCAGTTACTATATATATAATCGGCGGGCATATAGCAAGACGGCATCGATCGATCGTGCGCTAATCGTGGACACAGAGAGCGGCGACAACAATTTGGCAACAATTTGGCAACAATTTGGCAAGATGAGCAGTCAGCAGAGGACGGTGATTATTTTCAAAACGGAATCGGAAAGCACGGATGTGTATGCGGAGACCTTGCTGGGGCACAATTTTCAGCCGCTGTTCGTGCCGACACTGAGCTTCGGCTATAAGAATCTTGAACAGCTGCGCAACAAACTCCGGACGCCGGATAAATATGCTGGCATCATATTTACAAGTCCGCGTTGCGTTGAGGCCGTTGGCGAGGCTCTGCAGCTGGGCGAGCTGCCCGGCGGTTGGAAGCTATTGCATAACTATGCTGTGGGCGAGGTTACGCACAATCTGGCTATGAGCATGCTGCAGCAGCTGTTTACGCACGGCAAGCAAACGGGCAATGCCCGAAATCTGGCTGATTTTATTGTGGACACATTTGATGGATCTCGAAATTTGCCGCTGCTGTTGCCGTGCGGTAATCTGGCAACGGATACGCTGCTCTCCAAACTGGTCGAGAACGGTTTCTGTGTGGATGCCTGTGAGGTGTACGAGACCAAATGCAATCCACAGCTGGCCGAGTGCATGGAGCGTGCCCTGAAAGCTGAAAATATTGAGTTTCTAGCATTCTTCTCACCGTCCGGCGTGAATTGTGCGTATGAGTACTTTAAGGCGCACAACATTGTGCCGGATCAATGGAAACTGGTGGCCATTGGGCCGAGCACGCGGCGTGCTCTAGAATCGCTGGGACTGAAGGTCTTTTGCACCGCCGAGCGGCCGACGGTGGAGCATCTGGTGAAGGTGCTGCTCAATCCGCAGGAGAGTCGGGAGCGTTTGGTGCGTGAACGCATGGATTTAGCATAAATTTGTGGGCACATTTAGACGTGTTAAGTGTGTTTTAGTTATTCTTGTTCTGTTGCTTTCTTATATTTTTTTGACAAACAAACAAGCTATATTGACTATTTCTATCTATTTCTATGTGACCTCCATGAGTACAAAATTAGTGAGCCCAGCATTAGATGTTGCGCATTGTATTGTTATTTTTGATGCCAGATACTCACCTCAATTGAAGCTAAATAAATTTGTTTCTTTTGTTTTTCTTTCGTATCTATATTTACATTTGGCCGACATTATTTGAATACCAGTTGGACGCGCCGATAGAATTATCGACTGGCTGTGGCGGTTGGTCGATTAAATACTAGCAGCATGATTGCGCTTCATTTTTTTTTCTTGCTGCTACAGTCATCCGATACATGCTAGTTGAAAACTTCGATAGGTCGAGTTAATCGAATATCGCTCGCTGTTAAAGATTGTCGACCATAACTGAAGATCTATCGCTAATTGTGGCCATACCTAATGTAAACGATCGACAGTGCGTTTTGCTTAATTTTAATAATAAGCATAATAATTGCTAGGCAATACGCAGCGAAAATTTCAGTCAAATCTGCAACAAGGCAAATCGATTTAAATATCAAATTACGTTGCATTGGAAACGCCGCCGCAGTTTGAAAGCGCAACAAGCCGTCGTCGCATACACACACCAACACATACACAGGCACATATGCGGTGACACCCAATAGCAGCTCGGCATACCAATACACATTGACAGCTGCCGCCGGCAAAAAGCAGTTTCTCTTTTTATTCGTGACTCTTGTGCTTTGGGTGACGATACTATCGATACTATCGATTGTGGTGCAGCTCTAGCGACAACGACAGCGAAGTAATTTTTGTGCTTTTGTGCCCGCCGCGCCACTGAAGCAGTTTTATTCTATTATTTTTTTTTTTCGTTCAACTTTTGTGTGATTTTCTGCGCATTTATAGCCAATAACAAACAGCGATAGCTATATTGGTGTTTGTGAGTGTATGTTGCGTTGTACATAAAATAATAGAGAACAAAACTCCACGCAAACACTTTGTGCCGGTGTCAGCCGAAATTGCAGGTGAGTTCAGTCAAGTTAATTGGTTTTCTCATATCTTACGCCTTTTCAATTAAATGTACATTATGTGCAATTGTACATGTGTACCTAGTATAAAGGTTCTTTATTATTTTTTTTTTAATGTGTGATCATGCAGCATTGAAGGCAATAAAAATGAAGTGGGATGGCAAGAAAGCAAGCAAGAACCGAGCAAACGGAATGAGTGTGTAACGCAATGTTGAAATACCGGTGTGCGCGGCGTCAGTGTGCATACATACATATACCACTGTGCGTGCGTGTGTGTGTGTGTAGCAAAGTGTGTGAGAGAGAGCGCGACTTGAGTTAAGTTGGTTTGAGTGAGTCATTAACCGGCCTGCGCGCCGCTGTGTCAACGTTTTCTGTTTTTGGCATTGCAAATTGGCAAATTTGCTGCTGACACTTTTTATTGTCTTGTATTTACTTGCTAAAACATGCAACTAACACAGTTTCGCTGTCTGACAGCAATAGCAACAACATTAAGCTAGAACACAGTGGCAATCAGAGAGACAGACAGAGAGAGAGAGAGTGTGAGAGTGAGAGGCCTTTTTGATGCATGCGTTCGTTTGGCTCTCTTCGCCGTCGCCGCCGCCGCTTTAAATAAAATTCGCCAAAAAGTCGGTTAAATTTTTGAAATTGAGTGCCAAGCCTGAGTTCGCCTTAAAGTAGTTGGCGCGCGCGCCGCTGTGTGCTAGAGCGAGAGACGAATGTCAAATAATGTGAGAATTTGTATTTTTTAATGCATTCTTTTTCCTTTGTTGTTTATTTCTCTCTCTTTTTTTTTGTGGAAGTGCCAGCTGCCATAAATCACTGTCGCTGCCCGCCGGCTACCTATTTATGCTTATTGTTGTTGTTGTTGAAGTTATGCTAGGCAAAGCGTGTGAAAATTGCAGTCAATGTCGCCTCGCAACCACCGTTTTTCCAGAGTCGTCGAAAGTTTTTCCACACACACACAGACACACTCACACAAAGACGCTGCCGGCGTTGCGTCGTCTTGTATTGTGTTACCGTCTTTCTTTGTGTCTGCAGGTCGCTCACTTCCGTCTTTATCATGTGTCGCCGCACACACACACACACACACATGCATACAAATTATGTATATGTATGTAAGTAAATATGCACGCGTATAAGTTTGTCCAACAACAGCGTATTATCTAATTAGCATAAAGGCGCATTTTCCAGTTAGAACTCGGCATCGTCCCATTGTTGACTTTATAAGCTGTACAGTGCTGCCACCTTTTAAACGACCAAAAGACCAAGGGAAAATAAAGCGAAAAATAAATATGTATGTAGGTACATTCTGGTGTTCTTCCAAATCGAAAAGTTTACACTCTATTTTTGCCTAAAATATAATTGATGCCTATAAATAGTCGCTTAAACTAAACTGTTTTTTAGCCAGACTCCGGTCAAATGTGAACCACATTAAATGACAAATTTTTAGATCTGTTCGAGTAAATCACATTCTTGGTATACAATTTATCGAAAAATTGCTGTACAAATATTAGAATTCCCTCCGCCTTAAGATAGTCAGATTTGACGGGAAACGCAGAACTGGCAACGCTGGCCTGGTTCTGCCATACAAACACACACACACACACATATATACATATATATATGGGAGCTGTTTTTTAGAATTTTATTGAACCGGGACATTAGTCAAACGCTTTGCTGTTCTGGTTCTTTATGATTTGTCCAGCATCGCAACGGCTTGACATTCCCAAGCCATTTGTAACGGTTTGTCTTGTGGCAACCAGAAAGTAGCCGCATTGAGCAAAAGAGTAGAGCAAAAACCGCAAAGCCTATGTCGGCACCCAAGTTCTAATCTTTAAGAGCAGCAGCAGCGCAGCAGCATCAGCAGAAGACTCCCCGCACTGCTGCTCTTCTCTGTTGCGCTTGGCCCATTTTAGACGCTAAAGCAGCAACTCCGCAAAGCGAGAGAGCGAGAGAGTGCAAGAGCTCGAGAGACAGCCAAATGATTTAACAGCGGATGCTGCGACGCTGTTGTTTACACTCGCTCACATACTGGCAACGCCAACGCTCTCTCAGTTTCTGCGTATGCGTTTGTGTGTGTGTGTGTGTGTGTGCGCTCGCGAGAGCGTGTGTTCATTCATTATTTGATTTATCGGCCAAAAGTAGAACGATTCGTAATTAGCTTGTTGAACATGCCCAAAACGAAAAGGCGGCCAAAGCTGTGCCGCTCCACTATCTTTCTATCTCTCTCTATCGCTCTCATCAATTAGCACCTTATATTTTTTCTATGATTTATGTACATACATGTACATTGCTGCGCTCATCCGCTATAAAATGAGACAAAACCAGTTTGTGTGCCAGAGTTGCCATTTTGTGCGAAATTTGCGTAGATACCCAACGATTTTGTTGCTGCTGTTGCTGTTGTTGTTTTTATTGGGCTGCAAAACAAAGCGCTGGCAAGAAGCAGCAGCGGACAGCCACAGGTAAGCACCCAACGTTGACGTCTCTGCCAGCCGCTGTTGATGTGCGTTCAGAATTCAGCGCGTGAACACGTGAGCATGAACAATGAACAATTTACACATTATTCGTAAATCGAAAGTTTCTTACTAAACTACCAAAATTCAAGCTGATGACTGACTGGATCTGGAAATGCAATTAAAAATGAATGTAAATTTACTTTCATGACGCGCTAATGTCTTAAATAGATAAATGACGATTATTATTTTCACTTTTAATTCAATGTAACGTTTTTCGCTCCCGATGCGCTCATCTCTAGCGCCACAGTCGATCGTCGCCTTGGCTGTGCGTCTTTGAGCACTGAGTGCTGCTCCTCTGTTGCGTTTGTGTGCGTGCGTGCGCGCGCGCCTCTGTGTGTGTGTGTGTGTGCGTGTGTGTTTGGCATTGAATTCGCTGAATTGAATTTTTTGCACAGCAAGCAACAACAATCGTAGCAGCAGAAGACGCGCTGACGTCATTGACTCTGCCGCCTGTTGAATTTATTTGTGATGTGAATATTTTTAGGCAATGAATATTAAACAGAATTTACAATTTGCATTTTGGGTGCAGACAGCGATGCGGCAACAGCGTCAGCGTCAGCGGCAGCGCGGCAGCGTTGACGATGTCACACAAGATTTCGAACTTGAAAATTATAATGGCGCTCTCTCTAACTCGCCCCCTCTCTCTTCTTCTCTCATTGTTTCGCTCTCTCAATCTCGTAACCCTCACGTGGGCTGGCCATGAAGCGCAACAGACGGCTGCGCAGTCGCTGCTGTCCGGCACTCTCACTCGTTTGTTTGCTCAAGCATCCGACTGTGCCGCGTTAGGATGGATTTTCATGTTGGGGGAGGGGGCTGTGCAACAAGTGTGCAGCGGCTTGCTATTGTTGTTGATTTCGTTGCTGTTGTTGTTGCTGTTGTTGTTGCAGTACCGTATTTTATGTAAATTAACCAAAACGAGTTGTCGTTATGCTTGACTAGTTAAGCGGGCGCAGCGGCGCGTAGAGTACACCAGCAGCAGCGCCCGTGGTGGGGGCTGCATTACGTAACAAAACAAAACTAATACGAAACGAAAAACGTTAAGAGCGGGCGCTTGCTTTCAAATTTCAATGAGCCAGCGTTGCCACCTGACAACGGCTCAACTGGCACTTGTTACGCTCAGCGATCTCTCACTCTCCCTCCACTTAGTTGTGTGTGTGTGTGTGCATGTGTGTGCATGTGTATGTTTGAAGCTTCAAGTCAGCCGCGTGACTTGCTTTTTGGGCTGCTGGCCGGCCATTACAATTTCGTGGAGCATCTCTCGAGAATCGAATGCCGCTCCAAACCCCTCACCGTCCGTTGCACACAGATAAAAACGTTGTGCGCTCGCATTCGCTGCGCTGCGCCGCGCCGCGACGTCGGCTCATTTCGCATTTGACTTTCGGTACGTATAGTCAGCGGATAGCGCAGAAAATAAACTGTCGAAAAAACCAACTGTTATTGTTGTTGTGTTTGTCATTTTTTTTTTTTGTTTTTTTATTTGCACGTGTGCAAGTGAGAGTGCAAGAGCGCGAGCGCAACTGCATGCGAGAGCTTAAGCGCGCGCTTTTATCGTATAATAATTTGTGCATTATTTGCATGTAAGTAGAAATATTTGTGCACTGCTGGAACATAGGTGTGTGTGTGTGTGTGTGTGTGTGTGTGAGAGTAGAAATGGGTGAATTTTGTAGTGCAGCCAACATCGTTGATTTGGCAACGCCTTAAAACTGCTGCGCTATCACCCAGAGCAGCGCCAGCGGCTGCCCAATCAGAATTGCCCTTCACCCACTTATTGAAAACAGTGTGAGAAATTAATCAACGTCAAAGCAAAAGCAAAACTCTGGCAGAGACGCTGCGTCGTCGTTTAGTGGGTCAAACGCCGGACGACCTCCGACGCCGCCCCAAAACGATCCACACACAATCAAACAAGCTAACCCGCCCTTTCCGCCCGTTGCCCCATTGTCTTATCCAACAGATGCCTGGCGCTGTTGCTATCTTATCTGCAATATTGGACAAAAGTCGTTAAACATTGCGTGCAACACACTCGAAACGTCGGCGTCGACGTTAACATTTACGATCTGCGATCTCTTTCTCTTTCCACAATTCACCATTAAACATTGCGTGGGAGAGCTTTTACTTTTGCTTAAAACGCTTTTGAAAGTGAACAATAAGCAGCGAAGCCGACTGCGACGCTGACTGTCAAGTCAAGCAGCGCTGACCTTACACTGAGTGCAAACGCGTGCAATGCGTAAGGGGAGAGAGAGAGAGAGAGAGAGAGAGATGAATATGATGGCGGTGCAGAGGAAGAGAGACAGAGAGGAAGTGAGTGTAATTCAAGGCAGACGTTTATAACAACAGCAGCAACAGCAACAACAGCAACAACAACGGTTCATTCTTATTACTTCTTTTGTACTCTATTCCGAATTGCAGTTTATTGTAGATGTTGAACGTAACGCGTCTGTCATATAGACACATGTTAATATGTAAATGTTAAATCCAAGCATA